GGGAGTATGTGCACAGGCCCGTGATCCTGGCTGGCTGGGAAAGGGTCGGGGTGGGACTGAGCTGAGTCTGAACCTTGTTGATTCTGATGTAGGTAGAAATCCCAGATGTGGTCATCATATTCCTGAAAATCAGGGACAAGATGTGAACTCTACTCTTCCATTCTAAGCTGTTCTCATCTGATGACCTCGATGGACAGAGAACAAGAAGGCCCAGCATGCACCTGGCCAGCCCCTGAAGGGGCTATTTTAAGTTCTCTAGAAGCAGACCGTGAGGCAAAGGCTGGGCACATGCTGTTCATTTGGAAGGTAATCCCGGAAGCACAGGCAGGGGAAGAGGAGTGGCACGGGGACGGGAACAAGCCAAGAGAAGAGTGTCATGAACAGGTTGCCAATGTGGTCCTGCTGGGGGCTCTCTGCAGGACCGTGAGCAATGCACCCCTGAATTGTCACTGTGAGAGGTGGGGTGACAAGGGAACTTACCCTCCCATTCCTGTCCCTCATAGTTGAGGGTCCCTCGTGGATGTTAACACCCAGGACTGCAACTGTGTCCCATGGTGGTCATGTGTGTTTCCACAGCCAGAAAAATGCAGGAAGCCATCTGAGTGCTCAGAGTGTCTAGATGATCCTAGGGTGGCCAAGGAGTGTGGACAGGGCACTAACATCGAAAGCCAAGGGGTCCATCTTTAACCTCAGTCCTCTAGCTTTGCAGTTGGCTTCCGACAGACATGGAGTCCCTGACTATTCTTGGGAGCTAGAAGATAAGTCAGGAACACAAGAAACCCTGACTAACATCCACACCTACCCCAGAGGAGCCGTGGGGTTCTGAAATCATTTAACCTCGCCAAGGGTAAGCTTCCTCCCTAGCAAAGAGTGGGGTTGGACTGAGTCATTTCCGGGAGTAAAACCTGCCCCACCAATAACCACAAGGCTGTTCTGAGGCTCCCACAAGCTGGTGCAAGACCTCCCCCACTTCCCGCATTTGCACACTGTGCTCATGATTTCTACTCTATTCAAGGACCACTTCCTCCACGTTTTTCCTGAAATTGGCTCAGTTTTATTTAGATTTATTTGAAAATGAACTTTTTATGCTATCTGATGTCAATAAAAATATGTAGGTAAAAAATCATAAAAATAAATTCACAGCTATAAAAAAAAGTGTTATTGGGGCCAATAGGTGGCACAGTGGTTAAGGGCACTGGACTCCCACATGGCCGACCATGGTTCGAGTCTCAGAACTGGCAGCCTGCTTTCTCACTTTCTCTCTCTCTCCCACCCTGTCCCTCTCTGGTCAAATTGAAATAAAGTCAAATAAAATAATTCTTTAAAAAAAAAAGTGTTCTTTCTGGACCAGCCCCATGGACTAGTGGGGCCAGATTCCACACAGCCAACTGCAGTTTGAATCCTGGCCCTGGCAGCTTGGAAAACACACCCTGTGTTTACGTGCCCCAAATCCTGAAGAAACAGAGAAATGGAGGAGAAGGGATTCCAGCATGAGCACACCTCATTGGAGTGGGGCGGGGGGCACTTTCTTCCACTCTCTCTGTCTTTGTTTCTCTCTGGCCACTGCGTGCACCCTCTGGCAATTAAGAAAATAAAATAAGGGACCAGCAGAAGGTGTAATGATTACGTTGCTGGACTCCCATGTAGTCAGCTGCGGTTTGAGCCCCTGACTCAGTGGCCTAAAACTCACATTGGGCACGTGTGCGTGCATGCCCAAAATCCCAAGAGGAGAATGGAGGAGAAGGGATTGTGGTGTGGCCATCCCACCCCGGCGGGGGGCGGGGGGGGATTTCTAGGTTTCTGTCTCTCTGACTCTCTGACAAGTGCACAGGCTCTATAGCAAAAATCTCTCTCAAAAATAAATAATGAATCAATTAAATAAGGGGTCAATAGGTGGTGTTGGTGGTGAAGGTGCTGGACTCCCATACAGCTGATCACGGTTCAAACCCTGGATCCAACAATGTGAAAATCATTCAGGGCACGTGTACATGCATGCCCCAAATCCCTACTGGAAAATAGAGGAGAAGGGATTGTGGCAAGGCCATATCCCCTGGGGGGCGTTATTTTTCGCTTTCTTTCTCTCTGTCTGCCTGGTGAATGCACACATCCTATGGCCAAAATCTAAAAATAAATAATAAAATAAAATAGAAATAAATAAATAACATGGTAAAAGTTTTCTTCCAAGCACCATGTAAAATTATCTGCATCCCACTAAGGTTATGCACTCTACAGGTCCAGGAAAAACTAAGCGGGCATCTGTCCCAAGTTCTCTGTAATAAAAATTGGAACCCTGGATTAAGCACCAGCATGAGGTTAAAGGCAAGTTGGATATATTATCAAGTCACTTAGTTCCCACTAGGTGCATAGACAGGCCTCTACTCCCATGATGGGGAAGGACTATTCCTCTTCCTGTTTCACAGATGAGGAAGTACAGAGAGATGAAGCAATTCACCCACAGCCTCACAGACACTCTGGTGCTACGTGGGGAACCTGACAACAGGCTCCACTCCTCTTGCACTGCACAGCTCACTTGTGGCCAGAAGCATCTTATCTGGACCCAGGAGCAGTCAGACCCACTCCCCATCCGGGCTCTCAGCTATGTTCTTGGTAGCATCCTTCCCCAGAACCTGCATAATAATTATAGCACTGATACTTCAAATGTCCACCCCCATGACAGAATATCCACGAAGCTATCCAAGCTGTTTTCTCTCTGGCTGGTGACATGGTGGGATACCTTTTCCTTATTGTTCTCTGTCTATGTTGTTTTATTTTTCTACTAGGTATTGCTTCTGTTCTAAGAGAAAAATGGCAGAATTGGTTTGAGCTTATTTTTAAATGTACTGTCACTTTCCACCAAGGGTGAAAAGAGGAACCCCACTCTTTCTGCCCCTCATGGAGGCGTCCACGAGGCGGCACTGAGTGAGTGACAACCTTAGAAGTAAGTCAGGAGAAGGCTCTGCTTGCAGTGAGGACAAACACAGAGTACCTCTGGGAGTGTAGGGAGAGACCCAAGTGAAGGGTGGTAAGTCTCTGAAAGGTGGAGGAATATAGACAAGGTGGTGGCCCCATTGGTAACTTGGCACTGCCACCAAAAACAAGAATGAGCTCCAAGTGTCAGCACAACAGCTGGGTGAGGTCAGATGCGAGTGAGGCCTGACCCTAGGCTCCGATTTCCAACAGGCTCAAGACCATCACTCCCAGGCCAACCACTGAGCCTGTGTCATTAAGACTGTCCTGAAGCATGTCCCCCTACTGGCTGTGCTCACACAGAGGGTGCTCACAGTTCCAGTTTATATCAATGAGTTTCCGGGACCACCGGTGGCATCTGCTTCTGTACAAGGGTCCCGGTTTGCACAACACATGCATGCTCGCACAGAGAAAGGGCACCAGGGCAGGTGACACAGGCAAAGCGGTTCTAGTTCTGACTTTCCCACCAACTGGGAGGACACTCCCAGACAACAGAGGTTGGACAAAGCCAGGGAATGGCAAAATCCTCAGCTAACCCTGTCTGTCTGAAGGGGCTGTCAAGAGTTCTTCATAAAGAAGATCCAAAGGCCACATCTGGATACAGCAGGAAGGTTGCTGTTTTACTGGCAGCTACGATGAGGTTAAAGGCACAGAAGGGGGGCGGGGAGCACGTGTCCTAAAGAAGCAACCCTTCAACTAAATAGTCTCCAGGGGTCCTTCTGCTCTGACACTTGAACTCTGAAATGATCAGAGAAAGACAGCAGTTGGGACCAACAGATGGTGTAATGGTTCCGTTGCTGGACTACCACGTAGTTGACCACAGTTCAAGTCCTGGGCCTAGTGGCTTAAAAGTCACGCTGGACACACGTGTGCATGTGCCCGAGATGCCAAGAGGAGAATGGAGAAGAAGCTATCGCAGCATGGCCATCCCCCCTGAGGGGTAATTTCTTGCTACTTGTTTCTCTATCTCTGTCTCTGTCTCTCTGGTGAGCACACATGCCCTATAGCAAAAATCTCTCTAAAAAAAAGAAAAAGACAGTGGTTAAAGCTATTTTGCCATCCTTAATTTTGTCCAACCTTTGTTGTCCAGGATCACTGGGCTATTTGGTAGTGGAGTTCTCCCGGCTACAGCAGAAAATCCAGCCAGTTGGATGATGATGATGAAGGACCCCCAAGAAAGAAATCACTCCTACGAAGACCAGGTCCACACAATTCCTGCAGGAGTGTCTCCAGCAAGAAACCAAGAATCCAAGATGCTCTCCATGTGGCGACTTTACATGCTCCAAGAAAAGGGAGCTCAAGAAGGAAATGACAACCTCTTCCTCAGCTCCTCTGAGAGTTTTCCCGAGGAGGAGCAATCTCAAGGCTTAGCCAGCAGGCAGGGACATCACTACAGCAAACAACCAGTGCCCGTAGCAAGTTGCTTTGCAAGTCTGGTGTTTGGGATCAGTATGTCTGAACAGTAAAGCAACAGCTGGCCACTGCAATGTTGGCATGTCTCCATAGCCCAGCATAATTTACAAGCTCCATAGCCCATGTTTCTCTCAGGAAACCAAGTAGCCTGTGGTAGAGAGGTATGGAATGGGTGTGCGTGCTCACTCACAATTCAGTTGAAATGAAGAAGCCAATGAGCCAGCACTATAGTCTTCTGGTTAAAGAGAACTATTAATAGATCCCAGATCCCGTATGGCTGACTGCAGCTGAATCCCAGCCCTAGTAGCTTGAAAAACACACTGGCATTTACGCATGCCCCACATTCCACAACACGACACAATGCTGTACCCCTGACTGGATGGGGAAATGAGGAGAAGGGATTATAGCATGACCGTGCCCCACTGGAGGGTACTTCCTCTCTCTTTTTCTCTCTGGTGAACACATGTGCCTTCTGGCGATTTAATAAAGAAGAAGTCAAGAAAGACAGAAATAGAGAAATCCTAAAATAACACAAAGAGGGGATATGTGAAACAATTGCTTTCACCATTTAGTGCAGCATGGTAATTAAGCCGTGTAACCCAAGGACATGTTCAGCTCACCTTGTTAAGGCGTTCAAGCATCTCTTTTAGGAGCAGTTGACACTCACACTCGTTTTCATACCTGCAAATTGGACACAGAAGTGAGAATTGGGCGGCCTCCATGCTTTCCTATGTGTGGGTCACACAACCAACATTAAATTCTATCTGAAATAGTATTCGCCCCTCCCCTTTAAGGAGAAGTTCTTCATTTTTCGGGTAGTAGCCAGTGGTGCATTTCCTAGCCCATTGCTCCACAGTCCCTTCACACCATGATGCAGGAAGTGGAAACACAAACACAGAACCTGGGGTCATTGGGACAGGGATCTCCCAGCCTGGAGGCTCCAGTCCCCGCTCTGGCCCTTCCTGCCCAACCACCCCAAGGACGAGGGAATTACATCTTGGCATACCTTTAACCAAGTCCAGCAGAGGCACAGAGAGGGAGGCCACCCTACACAACCTACGACAGACACCACTAACGTGACCTCATTTGGATTTCCTACACTTTTTATTTAATGGCGTATGTCATTTCGTCCCCAGGACCCCTCCGAAAGAGAGTAGTTACTGCTCCTGCCAAGTGAGAACTGGAGAACCTGAGGTTGAGAAACTGGCCCCAGGTCTCAGGCAGATGCTAGCAGCACTGCACGCTGATTTTTGCGGCATCATATCACTCCTGTACAGCACAGGCCCCCTCTGGGCGAGTGTGGGGCAGCTGGCAGCGTCAGTCCTGGGAGCAGCCTCAGTCTCAGACAGAGGCAAGTTGGTGCATAAATAACCCCAACCCTGTCCCCAGGTTGCTAGAATAACATTGTGTACTACATATATTTATCAAATCGTATTCATGGATTCAGTTTCCACTAACCTTTCTGTTTCTGGTTTTGATCCATAGAAACAGATTTGAAGCTGGAAAGGACCTGAAAACCCACCTTTACAGCCCTGAGGCATGACCGACAATCAGCAGGTTCATTTCCAGTGGCTCACAATGGTAACGTGTTTAATAATGCACTTGGCACTGGACAGTTTCCCTTGTGTCTCACTTATTTCCTCACTTCCCTACCGGTGCTCCCTGAGGTCACCTCCCTTACAAGCTATTTGCCCTCATATCCCTGGTTCAGACTTGGCTTTTTTAGGACCCCCAAAACTGAAAAGTGCAGAATCAGGACTCAGAATGGAATCTGACACCAAAAACTGTACCCTAACTCAGGGGTCTCCAAATCCACATCCTGTTAGTAATCAGGTCACAGAGCAGGAGACAAGTGAGTGAAGCTTCATCTGTATTTACACCCACTCTCCATCACTTAAATTACCATGAGCTTGGCCTCCTGTCAGATCAGGGGACACAATAGATTCTCATAGGAGCACGAATCCTACTATAGACTGCATATACAAAGGATATAGACTGCACATTCCTTATGAAAATCGAATGCCTGATGATCTGAGGTAGAGCTGAGGCAGTGATGCTAGCACTGGGGAGTGGCTGCAAATACTGCATTATGGTGAGTTGTATAATTTATTTCATTGTATATTACACGTAATAATAGTAGAAATAAAATGCACAATAAATGTAATGTACTTGAATCATCCCGAAACTATTCCCTGCCTCTGGGTCCATGGAAAAATTGTCTCCCACAAAACCAGTCCCTGAAGCCAAAAAGGTTGGGGACCAGCGCTCAAATGAACTTACCACACTACCTCAGCAGAGCAGGGAAACCCCTCAACTTAAACATTTATGAGATTAATAAAACAACAGATACTAGGAACAGGTGTATGTTTTCTTCTTAGTCAAGTTCTTCCCAGCCTTCAAGAAAATGCTAAGGGTCAAGAAAGCCAAGAGACCCCAGAAGTCATTCGGTCCGAGTAAGGGTTTCCGTCTGAAAAAATTTCACCCTGAAGAAAGGCCATTTCCCAGATAACGCTTCCCCTCATTCCCTGTAAGCTGCTCCCAATATCCATTCTCTCCTTTTTTTCAGGAGGTGCAGCCTTTGTTGTGTGGCAGCATAGGGCTGCCTAAAAAGTGAACTACATTTCCCAGCCTTCCATGCAACTAGGTGTGCCATGTGACTAAGTCCTAACCAATGGGATGGAAGCAGAAGGCTACTGGGCAGCTTCCAGATTCCCTGGGTAAGCAGTGGTATAGGTGTGCCCTTTGCCTCTTGGTCCACATTCCTGCCTCCATTCTGCAGACTGAAAGGTGGCGGCTGCCTTCTTGAAGACTATGCAGAGCTTTCCGGGTCTCAAGTACTGGAGAGTGCCATACTAAATTATCCATCCAGGTTTCACAAGAAATAAACTTCCATCTTAGATAAGCCAATGTCACTGTTTTGGTCTCTTTTTTTTTTTTTTTTCGGTGGTAAAAAACACCTTGGTAAAACTTACTATTTTAACTTTTTTCTTCTGCTTTTTTTTTTGCTTTAATTGTAGAATATAAACGAAAGACGGCATCTTAACCACTTTTAAGTGTACAGTTCAGTGGTATAAAATACACGAAAAATGAGCAACCATCAGCACTACCATCTCCCTAACTCTGCATCTAGCAAAACTGGAATTCTGCACCTGTTAAACAGCAACTCTTCATTCTCCCCTCCCCAGCCCCTGACAACCAGCACCCCACTTTCTGTCTCTACACATGCGACAGCTCCAACCTCTTTATATAAGTGAATTCATATGATATTTATCTTTTTGTGACTTAGTGGGTCCTCAGGAAAGTCATGACACATTTTTGCATAGAAAAACATAACAAAATGCGTCATGACTTTCCCGAAGACCTGATATTTCACTTGGCATAATGTCCTCCAGCTGACTCTCTATTACAGTATGTGTCAGAATTCCCTTCCTTTTTCAGGCTGAGGAATATTCCATTGTGGGTCCATACCACATTCTGTTGATTCATGCAGCTGTCAGAAGACACTCATGATTCCGCCTTCTGAAGAGCACTGCAGTAAGCATGAGTGTACGAATGCCTCTGTGGGATCCTGCTTTCAATTCTTTTGAGTGTATACCCTGAGAGGAATTGATACACCATATGTCAATTCTATTTTTAATTTTTTGAACCCACTACACTGTTTTCCACAGCAGCTGTAACCATTTTATATTTCCATCAATGGTGCACAAAGGTTCCAAGTTTTTCACATCCTTGTAAACACTTGTTATGTTGTGTTGTGTTTTGTTTTGTTTTGTTTTGTTTTTGATAGTAGCCAGCCTAATGGGTTAGCCAAAACAAAAGTGGGCCATTGTCACTTGGGAGCTTATGTTATACACAATGAAATTAATCTTAGTGAACATCGAGCCCAACCCTTAAAGCATAGCCTTCTGTGTCCTTGTATACTCATGGTGTGGGTTCAAGTCAAGTACTTCACAACCAAAAAAGGTGCTAGAAATTAATGCCACTATGGGGCCAGCAGGTGGAGTGGTGATTAAGGGTGCTGGACTCCCACATGGCTGACCATGGTTTGAGTCCCAGACCTAGTTGGCTTTCTTTCTCACTTTGTCTCTCTCTTTCTCTGTGTCTCTCTCTGGTCAAATGAAAAAATAATAATAATAAATAAAATAATTCTTTAAAAAAAGAAAGAAAATAATGCTACTATGCTGTCATAGTGGAACACCTTTAGGAAGAACAATTAGAAATATGTGTATTGTCAGGACCAGCAGTTAGCGTAATGGTTATGCTGCTGGACTCCCATGTAGTCGACCACGGTTCGAGTCCCAGATGCTGGGTGCGTGTGCCTGTGTGCCCAGGATCCTGAGAGGAGAATGGAAGAGAAGGGATTGTGGCATGGCTATCCCTCGTGGGGGGGGGGGG